AAAAAGTGCAACTCCCGAAACTGGGAAAAGTGACTATTGCGCATTTTAGCGTTTAAGTGCGCACAACTTCCAAACCGCTTGAGCCAGAATTGTCAGAATTCGCCTTTGTGTAGTGGAAACTTCACTTTCAACTTCCGGGAATTTTCTTCCAACTGCCACGTCTGCAAGAGTTTTGAAAATTTTCAATGTCGGACCGAGGGAGAAGCGCCGATTGTGTACTTGACCGTTCAACTGCCCACAACTTCCAAGCGACTTTGACTGGAACTTTTAAATTTTACCATTGTGAAGTGGAAACTTCACTTTCAACTTCCGGTAACTCCCATCCAGCTTCAAAGGCAGGAAGAGTTTTGAAAAAAGTGCAACTCCCGAAACTGGGAGAAGTGACTATTGCGCATTTTAGCGTTTAAGTGCGCACAACTCCCAAACCGCTGGATCCAGAATTGTCAGAATTCGCGTTTGTGTAGTGGAAACTTCAGTTTCAACTTCCGGAAATTTTCTTCCAACTGCCACGTCTGCAAGAGTTTTGAAAATTTTCAATGTCGGACCGCGGGAGAAGCGCCGATTGTGTAGTTCACCGTTCAACTGCTCACAACTTCCAAGCGACTTCGACTGGAACTTTTAAATTTTACCATTGTGAAGTGGAAACTTCACTTTCAACTTCCGGTAACTCTCATACAGCTTCAAATGCAGGAAGAGTTTTGAAAAAAGTGCAACTCCCGAAACTGGGAGAAGTGACTATTGCACATTTTAGCGTTTAAGTGCGCACAACTCCCAAACCGCTTTGGCCAAAATTGTCAAAATTTGCTTTTGTATAGTGAAAACTTCACTTTGAACTTCCGGAAATGTTCTTCCAACTGCCACGTCTGAAAGAGTTTTGAAAATTTTCAATTTCGGACCGCGGGATCGCCGATTGTGTACTTGACCGTTCAACTGCTCACAACTTCCAAGAGACTTCGACTGGAACTTTTAAATTTTACGGTTGTGAAGTGGAAACTTCACTTTCAACTTCCGGTAACTTCCATCCAGCTTCAAATGCAGGAAGAGTTTTGAAAAAAGTGCAACTCCCGAAACTGGGAGAACTGACGATTGCGCATTTTAGCGTTTAAGTGCGCACAACTCCCAAACCGCTTTGGCCAGAATTGTCAAAATTTGCGTTTGTGTAGTGGAAACTTCACTTTGAACTTCCGAAAGTTTTCGTCCATTTTCCAAGGCGAAAAGGGTTTTAAAAAATTAATACCGGGCAGTGAGAAAAGCGCCAATTGTCCACTTGAGCGTTCAACTGCTCGCAACTTTCGTGTGACTTCGGCTAAAACTTTCTAATTTTGCGGTTATGTAGGGGGAACTTCACTTTCAACTTCCGGAGTTCTTTCCGGCCCTATCGACTTTGTACTCGTTTTCAGCTGAAATTCACTCAGAAACCCGAATCTGCGGTGGGAATTTTGATTCGTTCGCCGGTTTTTGATAAACTTGAAACTTTACTTTTGGTTAAAATTTTTCCAAACTCCGCGACATTTTGCACTAGTTTTGCGCGGAAAAACGTTAAAATTGACCCCCAAAACCCCCCGAAACTCCCCTACTCAGTTGCTCCAGATCTGAACCGTAGAGTTAGTTTTTTTATATGTTAGTTTTAAATATTTCCCCCAATGTTTTTATATCGAGTTTACATACTTGTGCGAAACCGGGCATTTGTGGCGTACTTAGTCAATTATCCGGTAGGGTTTTAAGTACTTTTAGGCTGTCGCTGTACTCGCCCTGTCCGCCAAGTCACTTAATATATTTTAATTACAAATTGTGCGGTTTTTCTATTCCCGAAAATTAATTAATACAAGGAAATTCTCGACGATTTAGGGCCTCTAGGCAGCGTTGTCGCCGTGTGCAGTGCGCAGCACCTTCAGCTGTCAACCGATCAGCGGCCGCCTTCACAGAGTAACCTCTGCGATCTGTCGCCGCCATATTGTTTTGTGTTTTGGCCGATGAGGAAAACAAGCCGACGAATTTGCCAAATAAGCCCCCAAAATAGGGTTCCGGATTGCGGGCAGTGCCCTTGAAGCAGGCCACAGGCCCTTGAAAATGAAGCAGCCCAAAACGGGGGACACTGTGCGGCCCTTCAAGCTAGGTAGGTAACCTTATTGTTTCGGCCCCCCTAATGGTCGGCTAATGCGCCCCCTGTTTCAGCCCATCAGATTCTGAGCCTCACCGGGATCAGTTTCGAGCGGAAGAGCATTATAGTGAGTGGGTTTTTGCCGTTAGTGGCAGGTGATGGAAGTGAGCGTGTTTTAGGGGTTTGCGGAGCTGACGGTCGTCCCGATCCGGGACACGCTGCGTGTGATCAAAATCAACGCCAAACAGTGCCGGGTCTACAAGGTGCTGCTGAATGACCAGTACGAGGCGCATTTCCAGTACTTTGACCCCTTTCTGGATGTGTGCCAGAGCGACAATGACACGTGAGTTTTGCGGGCAGGGGCGCAGGGCTGGAATGGATGTTTGGCGCTTTTAGGCGCAGCCTCGAGCAGTTCTCGCAGTATCATCTGACTGCGGCCCTCAAGACCGACCCGGACAGCAGCGCGGGCGAATTAGTGATCACCATTCCGCCCGAGGCTGTGCATCTGGTGGCCGAGGGCACGGCGCTGCGCGTCGGCATCGAGTTCTCGCTGGAGCAGCCCCAGGGGGGCATCCACTTTGTGGTGCCCCAAAAGGAGGGCACCTATGCCGAGGTGAGTCATCACGATTTTTTCGGTTTTTATTAAATCTATTGGTAAATCCGCTTAGTTAGCTGTTTTAAAGTCGTTGCAATTGTTGCGGGCATTGCCTAGTTAATCTATAAATGCCGTCGCCTTTCTTCGGTCTTATTCAATTCGTCACAAACTTTCTAGAGAGGCTAATGTTGAAAAGATTGACAATTGATTGAAAAGAAATTGACTCAAAAAGCCGAATATGGCAACGGAAATGCGATTCGCCCACTCGTTCTTGAAAAAAATTGATTTTTGCCTGTTGCAAACGAATTTTTGCATCTTTCTCAAACGTGGCTTGCAGCAGGTTGATTCTGACAGCAGATTTGGCTTTTCAGCACCATTTTAGCATAAAA